AGGGCCTCCCAGGAGGACCCGAGAGGCGAAAGCGAGGGAAGGGCAGCGGTATTGGTAGCTCTTCTTCTTGTGAGATTTGTCCCGGTCCGATTTTGTCTCGTCCTGGGCTCCATTGGCTGCATAAGCGACAGTTTGCCTGCACGCCGCCCGTGGCCCGCCGGTCAAGCGCAGCAGGGCGCCCTGCCTCTGGCGCTCCCAGCGGGGCTCGGCGATGTCCCTGGCGCCCCCTTGGGAGCCCGCGCGCGCGGTCCCGCGCGCGCGAACCACGCCGCAGAGGGATGGCCTGGAGGAGGAAGATGTGGAGGAGGATGAAAAGGGTAGGAGGAGGAAGATGAGGATGGGGAGGAGGAGGGGTGATCGTGAGAGGAGGACGAGGAGGAGGAAGAAGACGAATAATAATACTACAAATGGAGCGAATGATATTACTACTAACAAAATACTAATTTCACCATCAATAAAACTTGTATTTTCGTATTCGTATTCGTATTCATAGTAACATGATCATACTAATCATACTGGCAACAAGAGTAATAAACTAATAATACGAATGATACGACTAGTAATACGAGTAATACTAATATTATTTATACTCGTACTAAGCAGAAGACGCGAATAATTATTATATAACACTTACACTAAGAATAAGAAGAAGAAGAGAGGGAGGAGGAGGAGGGGAAGGAGGAGGAGGAGGGGACGACTAGAGGAGGAGGGGAGGAGGGGTAGGAGGGGGAGGTAGGCGGGAAGGAGGGGGAGGAGGAGGAGGAGGAGGATGGAGAAGGGTAGGAGGAGGGAGGAGGAGGAGGAAGAGGAGGAGGAGGATGGAGGAGGAGGAGGAGGGGAGGAGTAGGTGGAAGGAGGAGGAGTAGGAGGGAGGAGGTTAGGAGGGGAAGGAGGGGGAGGAGGAGGAGGATGGAGGGAGAGAAGAGGAGGAGGAGGAGGAGGGGGGAAGGTAGGAGGGAGGGATGGGGAGAGGTGGGAGGGAGAGGAGGAGGAGGAGAAGGAGGAGGAGGAGTGAGGAGGAGGAGAGGAGGAGGAGGAGAGGAGGAGGAAGGGAGAGGAGGAGGAGGAGGAGGAGGAGGGGAGGAGAGGAGAGGAGGGAGGGGAGGAGGAGGTGGAGGAGGAGGAGGAGGAGGAGGAGAGGAGGAGGAGGGAGGAGGAGGAGGGAGGAGGAGGAGGAGGAGGAGTGAGGAGGAGGAGGAGGTGGAGGAGGAGGGAGGAGGAGGAGGAGGAGGAGGGGGGTTTGGTGGTAGGGAGGGAGGGAGGAGAGGAGGAGGAGGAGGAGGAGGAGGAGGGGAGGAGGAGGAGGAGGAGGAGGAGGGGAGGAGGAGCCGGAGGAGGAGGAGGAGGAGAGGAGGAGGAGGCGGAGGAGGAGGAGGGAGGTGAGAGGAGGAGGCGGAGGAGGCGGGCGAGAGGCGCAGCGAGGGCGCCGACGACGGGCCTCGACCCGCCCCCCCGCGGCGGAGGAGCGGCGCTCCCCCGCAGGGGAGGCGCCTCTCGCGGCCGGCGCCGATGGAGGCCCTGCGGCGGCTGAGCCTGGTCTCCAAGGCATCGGGGTGCGGCCACGCGTCGACCAAACAACCATCGACGCCACCGCTCTTACGTTAAGCCGGCTCTACAGGGGGGGAATTCAAAAGTAGTCAAAACATAGTCTGGGGACTATTTGTTTAGTATTCTTGGGCATATTTCATATTTATCGAGTTTTTTTTTAGTTTTTGTCCACAGTCCCCCAGTAGGGGGACAGGCCCGACCTAATACCTACGGCCCTCGCTGCTGCTCTGCGGCCCATCGGGTGCCGCAGCGTGCACCACGCAACGAAAGCCCACGCCAGACTTCCGGGCACGCGCTGGGCCCCGCGGGGCCGCAGGTGGGGCGATGCCGTTTGTTCGGTCCGCCGCACAGTCGAACGTTTAGCTTTTCTGGTACAGTCCCGCTTGATCTCAGGAGGAGGAGGAGGAGGAGGAAGAGGAAGATGAGGAACAGGAGGAGGAGGAGGAGGAGGAGGAGGAGGAGGAGAAGGAGGAGCAGGAGGAACGGGAGAGAGACGAGAGGAGGGGCCTCGGGCCGAGGGTGTGTGTTTATTTGTGTGTCCCAAGGCCCCTTCATGATCCAGGCTCATGCCCGCTTCATCCAGGTTTTCCCGCGCAGTCGCTTAATAGCCCGCCCAGTCCACTTTCATCCTGGGCTCAATCTGGCCTCATCGGGCCCAATCCGCACACTGGCTCCATAGGTCCAACCGACCTTGTTCATTTTTTACGAAGGCCTCCCAGGAACTGTGTTCTAAGATATCACTCGGGTGGCCAGTGTCGGGCGGCGCTAGGACGAGAGTTAATCCGTTCCAGAGCTTTCCGGAAAGCTCTCAGAGAGTTCCGGAACGCTCTGAGAAGGCCGCGGCGCCCGGGACATCCTCCAGAGCCGCCAGATCTCATGTATTCTCGATTTATCCCAACCCGATGTGTCCTTGTCTTGGCTTCGTCTTCGTAGAGGGGTAGGACACTTCTGAGGAACACCCCTGCTTCTTATAAGGCGCGGGCCCTGTCTATACATTTATGGCCGTAAGGCCTGTCTATACATTTATGGCCGTAAGGCCAGCGCCTTCTAAGAAGCAGCCTCCTTGCAAGAAGCTTTCTCCCTCCCCCTACCCCCTACCCCTAATTACCCCCTACCCCTCCCCAAGCTCCTCCCCGATCGGACCGATGTATAAGATCAAGCTCGTTTCGGGGAGGGTACCCTGATGTTCTTCGTGTTTGTTAGATGTTCTTGCGCATCCTGGGGGAGGGTGCCCTCGAGTCATCGTATGGTTTAGGGGTGTTTTGGTCGGCGGAGGGTCTCATGTTCTTGAAGGGTGTTTTTTCTGTCCTAGGTCCGATGGTACACCTTCCCCCTACCCCCTATCCCTACTGCCTCCACCTACCCCCTACCCCATACCCCCTCTCCTTACCCCCTCCCACTATCCTCTACCCGATACCCCCAACCCCCTAGCCTGATCTCCAAGGCATCGGGCTGCTGGTCCTCCAACTGAGAGGAAAAAAGGCTCTCACACCGCTACCCTTCTTCTTGGCATCGCTCGGACGCGTTTTTTGTTTCGGCGAACACCCTCGAGGAACACCTGGGACCATCTTGCGAACAATGCACGCACGAAATCAAAGCATGCACGAGAAATGGACGTCCGAGAGATGGCGAGTCCTTCTGTTTCGCCTCTTGGGGCCTCCCGGGAAGCCCTCGCTGCCACGGCCAGATTCGCGTCGAAATTTTGGCCAGAACGAGCCCAGGGAGGGGTATAGGGAGTCACGGTGTCCGTACCATTTGGTTTTCCCAGCAACTGTCCCCTTCGTCCTCCTCGTCCCCCTCTCCTCTTCCTCGTTTTCGCCGTCCTCCTGAGCATCCCTTCCTCCTCACCGTTCTCTTCGTCCTCCTCCTCCTCGTCCTCCTCTTCCTCCCCCTCCTTCTCCTCCTCCCTCCTCCTCCTCCTCCTCCTCCTCCTCCTTCTCCTCCTGCCTCCTCCTCGTCCTTCTCCTCCTCCTCCTCCTTCTCCTCCTCTCCCTCCTCCCCCCCTCCGGTGCCATCGCTCGAGGGAGCTCTTCCCCGTGATGGGCGCCCAGTTGTCCGCCCCCCCGTTTGGTAATGGATTAGGTAGTGCCGATACAGCGCCAGTCAGCGTCGATTAGCTTCGATTGAGCGTCGATTCAGGGACGACTTCGCGCCGACCAGTGTCGATTTACGTCGACTCGCAGGAGTCAACCCGATGGTTTGGGATGCTCGTCCTCCCTCCTCCGTCTCCCTCCTCCTTCTCCTCATTTTCCCTCCTCCTCCTCCTCCTCCTCCTCCTCCGCCTCCTCTACTCTCCTCCCTCCACCTCCTCCTCCCCTCCTCCTCCTCCTCCTCCTTCTCCTCCTCCTCCTCCTCCTCCTCCTCCTCCTCCTCCTCCCCCTCCCCCCTTGATGACATCGGCGGGCGGGGCGAGAGGTTCGCGCGAGAGGGCACGGGCCCTGGAGGAGCGGGGCCATGAGGCCCGAAGCGCAGGGGGCTCCGCCGCACTTCGGGGCCCCGCGGGGGGGCGCTCTCCGCGGGCCCGGGGAGCCGCAGGGCAACGGCTCGGGCCGGAGAGAGGTCGGTGGCGACGAGAGCGGGGGGGGGATACGGAGGGGAGGGGAGGGAGGGGTGGGCAACGATAGGGGGGGGGGATGTGCATGGGCGGGGAGGCAGTGTCCGCGGTTTTCGGAGCTGTTCCTCGGTTCTCGGCCGATTCCCAGCCTTGTGGTGCGCTCCAGCAGCTGCGCCTCGTCGAGGGCGTTCCGGGGGTGCCAGGATCGTCCCGAGCGGCCGCCAGGGAGCCGAGCCTTGGCTCGAAAACCGCAAGGCCACGATAGGGGATGATAAGCATACTGCGGACTCACTATCAGAGGCCTGTCGCTGATCCACGTATCGCCGATTCCAGGTCGTTGTCCCCCCCCTATGCCTATCCTCCCTTGCTGTTGCCCCTCAAGAGAGGGCGGGTCCTGAGGACAGCTCTCGGGCCTGGGGTCCAAGACTCGCTTCCTGCTGGAGGCATTCTCCCTCCATGGCGAGACGCAGACGGGGCGGGAGGGGGGCGACTCTAGGCCGCAGGAGGTGGAAGGATCGCTCCGCATCGCCGATGCATCGGCGATGCGGCTAGATGTGGAACGCTCTTTTCGCCTCGCCGACGGCGCCCATGCATCGCCGACGTCGCCGAAACATCGCCGATGCAACGGCGATGCAGCGCGATCCTCCGGCCCAATCTGTCCGGACCCAACTTGGAGGGAGGCTTCCAGTGACGAAGTTCTTGGGTGAGGAGGAGGATGAGGAAGAGGAGGAGGAGGAGGAGAAGGCGGAAAAGGAGGAGGAGGAGGACGAGGACGAGGACGAGGACGAGGACGAGGACGAGGAGAAGGACGAGGAGAAGGAGAAGGAGCGCAGCGCCTCAGGAAAGTCTCCCGACGCCTACGCGGGCGCGCGACGGACTAACCCCTGGCGCCGCCTACTCACGGCACGGTGCCGTAAGAGCAGGAGGCAAAATAGATGGAGAGCAACAGGAAGAAATCGCCCTCAAGGCCGTGGACGCAGGGCAACTTGCCGCCGACGAAGGAGGCGTCGCCACCGAAGAAGACGCCCTTCCACCAGCCGACCACGGAACGGCAGCGAATCACGGCATGGTCGATCAACGCGCCGCGTGGCTGCAAGAGGAGCCCCCCTGCGGGGGCGGCGCTGCTGGGGCACGTCGGGCACGAGGCGCCAGGTCCCTCTCGACGCGCCTGATCGAATCTTGCTGGTTGCGGCGCGTGGGCTCGTAGGGCGAGAGCCCATCGCACCTCAAGCTAAGCTTCCGCACTGTGCGGACATCTCCCGCAGCGCAGTGAGACCCGCAACGCCTGCAACAGTAAACGCTGTTGACCCTGAACACGTCGTGCCAAAGCGCAGCGAAGGCGTCCCCGACCTCCTCGGCGACGAGGCTGCGGGGGCCGAGGCCGCGCCCAGGGCCACGCCAGCCCTCTTGTCGCTGCAGAGAACCCAGCCCTCGCCGAAGGCGCGGAAGTACTCAGCGTTGGGAGCTCTGGCAACACGCGAAGGGCGACATGCACGACGAGAGCCAGCTTGCAGCGACTCGAGGGAAGAGCCCGTTGTGGCCGTGACTCCGCATTGGGTACATCAGCACCGCCCGGGGCTGGCGCAGCAAGCAAGGACATGGTCGGGCCTGGTTTGCTCGCAAGGTGGCCTGGGGACCTCCACGTCGCATCCCCATTGTTCGCGAGCCACCGCCTGCACTTCCGCCCACGAAATGAACTGCAGGTCCTTGCGGTGCTGCTTCAGCGCAGCTGTTACCGCCTGAGCTAGCGACCCAGCCAGTGCGTGAGAGGCCGCACCACAGCGCGCGAAATAGTCTGCCCAGCCGTTGCCTAGCCAGTCACGCAGCTCCTGCGGCTCTGTGCCCATAAGCACATAAGGAGAAGGAGAAAGAGGAGGAGGAGGCGGAGGAGGAGGAGGAGGAGGAGGAAGGCCTGGCCGAGGCTTGGCCGAGGCTTGGCCGAGGCCTGGAAGGTCTGGGAGGCATGGGACGCCTCCCGTGTCCGCGGCCCCGAAGGCCGGGCCCAAAAGGGGGCCGCGGCGGGGCACGCTGTGGTGCGCCTCCGCGAGGGTGCCCCGCGCAGACGGCACCCGTGCGGCCGCGCACATCCGCGGGATCGCGCCCCCCCACACGGGCTGCCTGACGTCGGCGGGGCAAGACGCCACCGAGCAAAGCACGCAAGCAAGTAGCAGCAGCCGAAGTAGAAGAAGCCGAAGAAGCAATGAAAAGAGAAGAAGCATGCAGAGGCCGAAGAAGAAGAAACACAGAGGACGCAGAGCAAGAAGGCGAGCGGCAGAAGGTTCATACGCCGCCTATTCGAAGCGAAAAAGACAGACGACACGCTACGCACGCAGACGCAGCAGCCGCGCACGCTGGGGAAGACGACAGAAGCAGAAGCCGCTGTCGACAGCCTCCTCTTCCCTCCTCCTTCCTCTCCTCCTCCCTTTTCCTCCTCTTTCTCCTCCTCCTCCTCCTCCTTCTTCTCTGCCTCCTCCTCCTCCTCCCCCTCCTCCTCTTCCTCGTCCTCCTCCTCCTTTTCCTCCTTCTCCTCCTCCTCCTCTTCCTCCTTCTTCTCCTCCTCCTCCTCTTCCTCCTCCTCCTCTTCCCCGAGGCTGGGCCAGCTTCGGCCCCGCCTCGGGGCGCAGCTTTCTTTCGGTGCATGTGCAGGCCTCGTTTCGACTCCTTCGGTTCGACCCGGTTCGATTTCGATGGCTTCCGATTCCGATTCGATTCGATGTTTGGATCCCGATGTCTCATTCGAGGTGTATTGGCTTGCCGATTCCCACCGATTCGACTTTTCCCGACCCGGCTGCCGATTTCCGCGGATCCGATTCATGTCGATCGCCGATCCGATTTGTTGATTCGATTCGGGGCTCGTCAGCATGTGGTCGCTCCCGGCGCCTCCATGCTCCCAGGAGAGGACCCGCAGAGGGAGAAAAAACCGAGGAGGCCAGCAGCTGCCCTTCGGACCCGGTCTCGAGGTTTTGCCGGTTCCCATTCGGCAGGAGCGGGGAGGCGGAGGGGAGGGAGGACGAGGAGGGATGATGGGCCCATTTCCACCACCACTACCATAGGTAGCAGAGGGAGGAGGCGGAGGAGGAGGGACGGGGGCCAGGGCGAGGAGAGGGGGGAGGCAGAGGGGGAGGCCCTCTTGGCGTCGGCTCTCGGCTCCGCGGGCTGCTCCAGGACCCGGGGGAGCGCGGGGGCCAGCAGCTGCCCTGCGGCCTGGGACCGAAGGGCTCGCTCGGCAGGAGCGGGGAGGTGGAGGGGAGGGATCGGCCACGCGCAGAGGGGGGTGCAGTGGAGGCCCATGCCAAGAAACACCTTGCTTGCTTCCAGGGTGCCCTGGGTTTCTTGGGTTTCGATGGTGTTGCTGTGGACAGCGCGACGTTCCCGCACCAAGAATCCATGCATGTCCTGGGGTCTCAGGGTTGGGTTTTTCGTGGAAGAAGGCATCTTGTGGACTGGCCTCCACTGTAGGGGGAGGGGGGAAGGCTTCTTAGAAGCACCCCTGCTTCTTAGAAGCGGCGGGCCTTGTCTGTAGATGTGAGGCCTGCGCCGTCCAAGGAGCAGTCTCCTTCTAACAAGCCTTCCCCCCTCCCCCTACCCCCCTATGCGCGCCGCCACAGGGAGGAAGAGGTGGGAGGCAAGGAAGAGGAGGTGGGCTCCCTCCACCGCGAGGCAATTCCCTTCATGTGGGAGAAATTGCGTCGGTGTGTGTGTGTGTGTGTGCGGAAAAGGTCAATGTCGCACAACCGCGCTTGTCTGCACTTCCGTTGCTGTCCCGCTCCTCCTCCTCCTCTTCTACATCTTGAGCTTTGTCGTTGTCCTTCTCATCCTTTTCTCCTCCTCCTCGTCCTCCTCTCGCATTACTTGTGTCCTCGCCATCGCCTTTCTTGGTGCGACTCCTCCTCCTCCTCCTCCTCCTCCTCCTCGCCGCATTGTCCATCTTGCCGTGAA